ATAATCAAACACCCTAACGGAGAGGCACAACCCTGCTGAGATTACAGAGGTATTTTCTGGTGAAACACCAGATGAAACTATGGAAACTAAAAATGAAAATTAAGTTTCCATTTCTAAAAGGATGGTAGAGCCACATCAATTTAATTATCTCTAGTTTGTTGATGCCTTATATCTTTTGCGTATTGCTAATCAAAGCATTTTAGAAACTGCGTGATTATGACGTCTTAAAATAGCTGAGTCATAAACAGGCGTCATATTCACGAGACCCCCTGAAGGTTTTTGAGCTGACTCGTTCATTGACTAATTATTATTATTTCTTCATTGAAGATTCATCATAATGAAATGAATGACTTACGCGCACGATGTCAATTGTTCATGTCAAAAACCAAAAGTACAAGCATTTAAAAAAACATTCACGATAATTAGCATACACAAGTTATAGATGTGTTTTGGTAAATGAATGATAGTTAAATTTACATTTCATCGATGAATTGTAATTTCGGTTACATTCATTAAATCTTTAAACCAGAGTAACATCAAACCATGTCTGAATGATAGTTTTTCCGCTGTTTTTTTCACCACGTATATTTAACAAATGGTAAACGCCACAATGTACACTATTGAGTCATGGTGCACGCGGGAGGTTGCTAAGCACGAAAGAAGCGCAAGAGTCGCTCGAGGCGATAGCCGAGAGCGACTCTAGCTTCTTGAGTGCTTAGCAAACCTCCCAAGTGCATCCATAACTCAATGGTGTACGCTGTGGTGTTTACCATTTGTTTTATAACATAACATTGATACATTGTAGCTATTAAAAGATCAGAGTTCCCTGTTATTTAACAAATCTTACGTGACCAGAAAAAACAAGCGCGCGCGGAAAAATAGTCTGCATTTGCTCATGTCAGCAGCGTACACCGATGGGCAAATGGGGGACGCTAAATTGACCAATCAGAGCGTGCGCTTTACTTTGGTTATGTTATAACAACTATTAGATCCGGGAAGACTTTCCAAATTTTGTCTCTCGTAAAAGTGGAATAAGATCAACGAGTTTAGATGCATCTTTCTTTTCGAAATAATGCCTTACTTTTTCTTGTGTTAACTGAGTTGATTCGTTCATACTAGCCAGCGGTATGTATGCGACGTTTGTCGGAAGTAATCCCGTTGGTGAAGCTTTGAAATATTGAATTAAATATTAGCTCCAGTCCGCAAAAACCTTTCAGACATCAACGTTCTTCATCTACTTCCAAAGACAAACTGGTAGATTTATTCTGGTATAATTTAGATTCATTCTGGTATAATTTATTCTTCTGAACGATGATTCCAACCAGCAACCTGTTTCTCTGAACTGAATCGTTGAAATTGCTCCATCGACCACTTAACTTCTTCACTGTTTCTTCCCTTAATATCACAACTAGATCTTATCAAGTTTCTCACACGACCGGATGGAATTTACACATAGTACGTGATCTCTTAAAGGAAGTAACATAAATATTTTAAAAGGGGCAAGAAGTCCTATTATTTAATTCATTCATAATCACCGGATAAAAATTCTCTTCCTTCTTAGGCTTCGATATCACCATCTTCTTGTCGCGTGTGAACAGAAATTCTATTCAACTCTCTTAATATTCTATACTTCGAAATCCAACGAGTTCATCCGTAATTAGTTAAAATTTCATTGCACTCTTTTTTGCAGCCTTTGCAAATCGTCTGGTAACAGAGGAACTTCCTCTATTCCCACACTATTAGCTCGTTTTCCCATATGATTAAAAATTGGTCAAAATATCGTTTGAGGAAAAAAAAATTATCACATGTAAAATTGCTCTTCTTAGGAAGATAATATGTCATGAAATGAAAACTGAAAATTTAATTTTCTTTCAATGGGTTATAATTTTTAACACTCAAACTATCCCAAGAAGAGGGCACACACTTTTTAAGACGTAAAGATTGTTACGAGCACAAAGTATCTTAAAAGAGGTGTTTGCAAACGCGTGGTTCGTTGAGAAAAAATTCTTATAAGTTGTCATTTGCGGTCAAAATAAACAAAATGTCTCGGCTTACATACTTCCTATAATCGAATAGAGGCGAAGGAAATTAATATACGAATTGAGTGGCTTATATGAGGTCCTAATTAGAGAGCATAAGTCAGGTAATAAGTTTCTTCTCTAAGCAGAACTTTCCTTTTTTAAAACCGAAAATCTGCTCTCAGTTCGGTAGGGAATGTAACCGGTTAAGTCGTAAGATGAAGTTTAGATAGGATAAGCCGGAAAATATAAT